ATATTATTTGTATTTCCAACGTTTATGATCGATATATATTTCAATAAAAGTGAAAGTAAGTGTATCTTTATTAATTCGTTAGATGTATATATTTTGTGTTTTTCATTCGATTAGATCTTTTAGAGTTTAGAAAATCATTTAATTTCTTGAATATAAGCATCGGCGCTTAGAAGATCATTTTTCTGTGTGTGTGTGTGTATGTTTAGTTGGACAACGATATAGTAATTAATTAAAATTTGGAATATTATGATAAAAAAATATGGATACAATATTGGATTATGTAACTTTTCACAATTTTGAGATTGTGTGTTTAGAATTTGATTCCTCATAAATTTTGTAGTTCAAATATAATAAATTTTAAATATAAGGACGTATTTGATTTCGAATAAATCACAACTATTTTCTTCATCAATCTATACGGCATGCTTGAGAATTATGATGTAAATATTCAATTTTTACTGCGTGTTCAAAAATGTATGCCGTAAATACTGTAATGAAATTTTTACAGCACGTTTTATATGCACGCCGTAAATGAATGTCGTAAAAAGTTACTTTTGTTGTAGTAAATATGGACTACTTATGCACAAGGGTCATAGGTGAGTGGCTATTTTTTGCAAATTTCCCTATAAAAGTAAAGGTCGCGATAAATATACTCTTCTCTCTTCAAAAGTGTTTCCAAATTCTCCATCTCCCTTTTTGTATAAATTTCGGATCATTCAAACATTATCGTCAAATTAGGCAAAATTGACAAAAAAAAAATAGTCTATTAGACACTCTATCTCTTCCTTTTGTTCGGATTTCAAAACATCTAGACATTCTCCGGTCGAGCTAAAAAATTTTCAAATCCATTATGAGAATTATAGGTTGCTGATAGCTTTCCATATTTTCCAAATTCTTATAGTTTCATGCAATTGTATATTTTCTCTCCCAATTGTTTTATAAAAATTCGTGTTATGCTTCGAAAAATTGGAGATTGTTACAATTCCCCATCCTACCAACGGTCCCAGCTCATGTAATTCTCATTTTAATAACAACTTGACTTATTGACAAAAAGTTATAAAGAAACGTCAATCAGAACTTTGTGTGCAACAACAATAAAAGGTCGAGGACCGAACCCTCATTGGGCAAAAACCATTTATAAGTTAATTAAACTTTATTTTCAACCACAAATTTCAATGGTCCACAAGTACTATCCAATTATCCACCATTTATTTGTAAAAAAAGAAAATTGATTCCAAAACGGAGGCTTATAAATTAAAACGTCTATAAATTCTTTACAAACAGACGCTAAAATGAAATCGGAGACCGACTTGCAAAGTACATCATAAGATGGGGTTCTACAATGCAATTTTCGATTGCATACAAGTACCAGTGATTGATTGTGTGTTTGAATCACATTATAATATATTTTGAAATAGCAAATTGATGGAGGATGTACGTTTGAAAAAGAAGTAAAAATTATTAATTTGATGAAAAATATTATTTTATTGAAAAATGTGTGGTTGAAAATAAGTTTTGAAAAAAATGTATTTTGAAAAAATGTGTACCAAACAGAGACTTATGTCCTTAATAGTCATTAATTTTTAATTAATCGCAAA